ACATATGCTGTTTGGTAATGAAGCTGGGTACAGTAATCTTACTTTCACAGAGTGCTGTAAGAGACTTCAGGTTCCTGAAAATTGATGATGAACTGTCATTCCTCATCAGAACACTTGTCAGCCTGTTCACAGAGCAGAAGTTCTGCAGATTTTCGGTGCTGCTTTGAACAGGTAATATGAATAGGTATGAGTAAAATGCAATTGTCAGATGTGAAGTCAGGGACCAAAGAAGCAGAACAGCTCCAAAAATCTCTGGAAGTAAATTGAATCATTTATGAGGTTAGATAAGGTACTCAGAGGAGTGGTGGAATAAATAATGTACATAACTGACTTCAAGGATTTACATATTGACATTAACACAATGTGATTAGAGGATTCTCTAATTTGGGCCTAGAGGCCAGGTACTAGTAAGGATGCCCACACAACTGTGGAAGGCCATGTCTTGAGCTTTAATCCTGTATTCTAAGAGGGCCAGGGACCAGCTTCAGGAACTAATAGTATGAGCAGGCTAGACAGTTCTGTGTGTTCTTGGGAAGGTGTTTTTTTCTGGTGACAGTAAAGCCATTCCTGTAAGCAAATATGGCTTCCCTATTGCATGGTATACCAGCTCAGAGACTGTGCTGCAGCAATTGCTGATGCTCATGACTTTAGGGATTTTAATAGATTGTAGCGTTAGAATATTCCATCAGCTATTTCATAGCTATCCAAGCAATTTAATATTTGGCCAAAATATGGCTAATGTGGCATAATACCCACAGATGAAAAAAACACTGAAAACATAATGGTGAGCAAACTCCAGGAATATTCTACTTACTGCTACTTTTGGAATATATAATATTTTAAATTCAGTAAAATAATACTGGTTTTCAGTGTACTATAACTTTCTGCCCCTGAACAACGTGAAGACATCCATTATAAGTAAAAAATTTTACTGTGTAACATCTGGATATTATGATTATGAACACTACTTAACACAGCTGAGTTTCAGTACAGTCCCTGTCTTGTGAGATCAAATGAAATGGTATTTATTACTTTTGAGAATTACTGGGTTAAAAAGAATCACTGTACAATTAAAAACAACTGTCTGTTTGCAATGAGCACTTTGGCTGGATGTTATACTAGACCAACTTTATTGGAGAGTTTGTTTGCACATTTAGGACTTGCAAAGTGTGGGCAGCTTTGGTAGCAGCAATGTGGCAAACTAAAACAGTACCTTAGGTACTGAGCAGTGCCTTTATGGTTCAGAAGAGCTCTTAGGGTTGGCAGAAAGGCTGTTGGGGCAGAATATGTAGATGTCCTGTGTTATCCCTAGACAGTATGCTGGTGACAAAGAAGTAGAAATCAATGGGGTGTGGCCAAAATTCTCAGATTTTTTTAAAAATTGGTTTACATAAAAAAAGTTAAAATGTGAAGAATATTTAGCTTTAGTGGTAAAATAAGCATTCTTTATTTGTACCAATGCCAGTTTGTATCTTGTTTTCACCAACAGAAGGAAAGAGACAAAGAAAAATAAATACAATAAAAAATGAAATCTTTATTTTTTGGCTCATTTGTAATATTGTTTACGTTGTTTATGATAATAACAATTTCCTGCATGCATTTCACCAACACATTACAAGTCAAAAGCATTTGTAAAAGAAAAATTCTACATTTAATGTCAGCTTGTGTATGAAACACAAAATGTCCTGATGTTCTTGATTTTACAAATGTGCCATTTTGTTCTTGGGAAATATTGTGGATCCTATTTGTACAAGTCTAGTGCAGTGTGATCCAAAAAGAATAAGAACAGGCTATGTAAACAGACACTGCAAGATAGCAAGGATTTTATGAACAATGAGACTATCTTGGAACTCCTGATGCAAACAGCGCTAGAAATTCGCACATTCCCCTAATACTTGCCTTGCTATGTCCCGTTACCCGATATAACTATTTGGAAACAAGCTGGGTTCCAGATTTACACAATTTACTTCACATTGAAATATATGCAAATATAATATTAAAACAAGATAGTCTACAAATACTCACTTTTTTCCTCATAGTGTGATGATGCCAGCTTGAAATTACCGTGGTTAGAAAGTAAGCCAAGTGAACGAGGAAAGAAATATAAGAAACAGTGATCTAAACTCGAAGACGCTTTTCTTATATACAAAAATGTTGCCAAATGGTATTTCTTTACATTATTTATATATGCTAACCACATTTTCAACAGGTTAAACAGTTTGCAATATGGCCTGTACAGTCTGATTCTACACCATATAGTAGCCACTTTAAACTTAAAATGCAAAACTAAAGAAGCTCATAAATAGCTGCAAACTATTGCTTAATGATTTGAAAGAATGAGGTCTGGTTGGACAATTTGGTTCACTTCAGCACTGACTTCCTATAGTGGAGACTGTGGACAGTGGAAGGAGCAAGATACAGCAGCAAAAGCATTGACATGCATCAGTGATACTCTCCAAACTATCTATAATGACATAGAATATAACATGTCCTGTTGAGCTCTTGCAGATTACCTATACTGGGGTACATATCTGATGCAATTCAATGTGGCAAAGCCATTTAATTCTATGCTTAAATATGCATGGCAGTATACCATTAATATTAACATGGAAAAAGGTATTTTATTCATTCATTGGATGTTGGCAATAATGAAAGAAAACAGTAACTAAAGAACAGTCTAGGAAAAAATTTGGGCTATTCAAAAAAACCCCAAAACCAAAAGAACTTGCAGGTATATTTTGGTGAAGCTATTTTTCCAGTGCAGAAACCGCACAATATTTTTTAAGCTGTGAATATTTTAACAAAAACAAGAACTTGTTCATGTTTAATGATTTTCATAAAAATAAGCCATTGCAGATTCCTGTAAATTAGAAGAGACTTTCCAGGCACATTAATCTGGATGCAGCCGTACATGTAGTTAGAATACCTCAAATTTAAGAGCAACCCTGAAACATGGAAAGTCCTAAAATCTTTAGTTTTGTGCAATGTCATATTTTTATTTACGCATGATTGACAAGTGCAGCATGCCTATGCAAATCACTTCTATCTGTACATTATAGAGAATCTGAGAGTAGAACACCTGGTCCTCATACCTCTTTCCCCAACATAAAACCTATTACAAAAATAGTCACATATAATAGTAAACAACTTGTGAATTAAAAAAATGATAAATACACTAATACTAATTTTGTAAAAATATGACAAATGTAGCAGTTGCATTACAAACAGTGAAGAGAAATATTGTTCTATGTGTTTTGCAGTATGTGAAACACAAAAAAGTATCGCTTTGCACGCATTTCATGCTCCATGTTTGCTGTGGAGCCACTTTTTCCCTCATTCTTAGCAGTGTCAGCTGTAGTGAAAACAGTAACGCCTTCTCAAGTTTGTTACCCTGATTTGCAGAGTCACACTTTGATGATGAAGGTTCACTGTTTTGTTATAGGCACTGACCTTAAGTATATATATAATGTATATATACGCACACACACGCACGCGCGCACACACACATGTGTATATGTGTAAAAACTGTCGGTTTGGCATAAACCTCCTGCAGGAGTCCAGTTGATGCTTCATTCTCAAAGACTGTAAACAAGTTGTCCAACAAGCAAAATTCTTAGATCTTCATTTTTTATTTTCCCTGACATCTTTACCTTTGTAGTTCTTTTCTGCTTTATCTTTTTCATATTTTTCTTTGTCTGGCTTTGTTACACTGTCATAAGAAGGTGGGGAAGTTGTAGAGGAACTCTCATCCGTTTTTTCTGGAGTGGAGTTCCCATTTAGTTTATCAATAATTATCTCTTTTATAACGGGTCCATCTCCTTCTTTGTTTTTATTTTTGTTATATATACTAGACACCTTTTTAACTTTTTGCCTTAGAAGGTAATGCCTGTAAGCGCGCTGAATAATGACAGCAGATACTTCCTCCTGTTTCCGTTTTAATGTGGTTGTAATTGGTTCATAGGAAACTTTTGAAGGATTGGCTGCCATAAAACGATCTTCCATCTGTATTCTGAGGGCGTCCATCTCCCCACTTTCCCCCAACACACGCTTTGTGAAAGCAAACAAGATGTCAAGGCAGTGAATTCTGTCGCCGCTTACCATGGGCAGATCCATTGCAATAAGCTGGACTTTGTTTGGTTTTGCTATAAGAAGAGGAGGATCTAACGAAGCTGCAAAATCCGATAGCTTACTGTACTCTATGAATTGTGTTGCATCAGGATCAAACTTCTCCCAGACTTCGTAGAACATCTCAAAGTCATCCTCACTCAAGGGTTCAGCGCTTTCTTCAGTAGCAACACTGAAGATCTCAAAAATCACAGCAATGTACATGTTCACCACTACCAGAAATGATATGATAATGTAGCTGACAAAGAAGAAAATCCCAACAGAAGGGTTGCCGCAGTCGCCTTTCACAGAGCTCCCCGGATGATCTTTATGGGGGTCACAGTCTGGCTCCCCACTGTTAAGAATTGGGGCTAGCAGACCATCCCAGCCAGCAGATGTGGTGATTTGAAATAGGCAGATCATGCTGTTGCCAAATGTTTCAAAGTTGAACATATCATCAATCCCAACTTCCCTCTTAACATAGGCAAAGTTGGACATGCCAAATATCGCATAGATAAACATGACCAGGAACAGCAGCAGACCAATGTTGAACAAAGCAGGAAGAGACATCATCAAAGCAAAAAGCAGAGTGCGGATTCCCTTCGCGCCTTTAATGAGACGCAGGATTCGACCAATTCTGGCAAGTCGGATCACTCTGAATAGCGTAGGGGATACAAAATATTTCTCAATCATCTCAGCTAAGAACATACCTAAAGAATAAAAAGCGAATATTTAAAATATAATTTTAGATTTATTCATTTGTTACCTATAGAAAGATTGACTTATTCCTATCTCCAAAACAATCAGTGTAGGGAGTCTATGTTATAGCATAAATTCATACAAGTTATTACGTTTTCTTGAAAGATATTATTAAGGTGAAAGCACCTTCCTTATGTTGAAATGCTATCTAGGAGAAGGGAAATAAGTAAAAGAAAGAAGACTGTTTCTGGCAAGGTACCTAATGTCTGTCTAAGCTTTCAGTTATTCCTAAAGCCTCCTGGAAAGAGAAGTTTCTGTCTTAGATTTAATTAGTTCTTGAAGCTGAGCCTGTTACCACTGTCTTTTATGAAGGACTATATTGGCCTAATTTCTGCAAATTAGAGATTTTTTTTACCTGATGATCTACACTGTATCAGCACAGCCTCTCTCAGGTGTATTACTCTTTAAGGCTTAGGTTTTGTCACACAACCAATTTGCACCTTGGAGAATCATTAGCTTTTAGTCGACAGAAATCTAAATATTCACCAAGACCTCAGTTAGCAAAAGCAATTAAAAATCTCACCCCCTTCATATACTTTTCACTTTTAGTACTGAAAGCAAATTTATGGTTAGTTTGCATATACTACTAAACATTCCTCTTTGTATTTGTACATGTTAATCTAATGTGCCGAATAGTTCCTTTATGTCTTTTGATGTGGAAGATGACAGTGAATCTAATGGGAGAGATAAAAATCTTATATGCAACATTTCATATATTGTATGCTATAAAGTATGAAGATCTGAATCAGTATGTAAGTCATATAGGAAACAGAAAATTTCATATTCAGTATCATAACATTCTTGAAACAAATGTTCCCTTTTCCTGCCACTAGTTCTTTCTTGAAAGGAAATTGCTCTTACCTACTATGGAGAGAATCACAACCACAAAATCAAAAATATTCCAGCCTATAGTGAAGTAGTAATGGCGAAGTGAAATCAATTTCAGGACACATTCTCCAGTGAAAAGGATAATGAACACCAGGTTAATCCGGGATAAAATTGTTTCCATTTCTTTACTCTGGTCATCTGTTTCTACCATCATTGTGACCATGTTAAGGCAGATGAGTATCATGATGCTGATGTCAAATACTTGTTTGGTTACAAAATCAAAGACCATGCCTTGGAATTTGTTCTGCAAAACAAAGATGGAATACAGCATATACTCTGAAAATATTTGTCTTTACAAAAAGGGAAAGTCCCTGCAAGATTTAGGAGTGCAGAGCAAGACCCATTCGCAATACATCTGTTAGTATACACCAAACCCATGGCGGTTTGTGTCTCATCCAGGTAGAGCGGATCAAGAAGTGTACCACTGTTGGCTGTAGGGACGGGAAAGGAGAAAATGCAAAAATAATAGTAATAATGTTGTCAATTTATATTATTGGTGTTAAAAAGGTGTTATAACTTGATACCCAGCAAGAGTACCAGCCAAATAGAAACTCATTTTCTTATCTTTATTATTAGATGGTTTTAGAATACTAACCCCCGGAGATGTCTGTCTCTTCCTTAAACTAATTGTGCTTGGTGAGATCGTTGGACCAATGAAGTTGCATGTCTCAAAGACACCATGACTGCAATATCCTAGCTTTCCTTTAATACTTAGCTAAATGTTTATTGCCATGTGTTTCTCCTTAGTTGCATAAGGTGCAACAAGTATTTTATTTTTTCCAAACACTGTAGGAGTTCAGTAAATAATAGAGTAGTTTCTTATCTTAGAGACAAATTTATCCTAGTTTATGCTTTACTCCCTGGGGCGTTCTTTTATTCTGTAAGATTATCTACATCAGTCTTTCTCTTTCACATTAGTTGACCACTGCCCCCTTCTGTCTTCAGCAGCAAGGGCCACTGCATCCCCATTTCCTACAAATTCTCTGGGAGGAGAAAAAACAGAAAATGATCTGATAATGATCTGATCAACTGTACTTTTCTAGGACTTAGGTGGGGATTTATGACATTTATCACATTAAACATTAAATCCTATAGTTCATACTTTAGAGAGTATATTTTTAAATGAAACATGAACACTCCAGTCTGCTGAATTAAAAAAAAAAGGTGGTAAATTCTACCCTTACAAGAAAATAATGGAAAAAATATTCTCTTTCCAGACATATAACTTTCTCTTGTTGGCTAAAATCATATTCCCAAATGAGTATTTAATATTAGGAATATGAAAATCAAATCACTCTTACCACTGGCCTTGGTATAGGTTTCTGTGGCTTTTTGGATCCCAGTTTTTTCATTGCATTGTAATATTTCTTCTGTTCTTCTGTCATAAATATATCCTGACCTCCAAAGTAAAGAAACAATATCAAAACTAATTACTATCATGTCCACACATACCACATTTAACTACAGTATGTCTCTCTGTAATACAGTATTCCATTTACATTTGATATATATAACAAAAGTGATTTTTTTTCAGGTATTTACAGTGTGGATGCTCATGTGCATTCCTAACACACAAAACCCCTCCTTACTGGTGCCTTGTCAGGCTGACAGTTGAGTTTTTCCAGTGTCTTCATGCTCACTTTTGCTGACATGGCTAAAATGTTTCTTACTACACCGATGCTATTAAATAACTTGCTGATTGGGATATATATAGTGCATAAGAGCCTGACTGGTGCCTCACATGTCCTAAATTCCACATAGACTTTTAGGATTACAGCTAGCCAGGTCTAAAAGTGGGGTAACTTTGAGGCACAAGTTCTGTCAAGGCAGAGTATTTGGGTCCAAGCTGAGGGTTTTAATGACAGCAAAAAAATCAGCTTTGATATAAACTTAAGAAAAGTAATCCACATCATGCCATAGCAAATTATTAATTAAAACACCACTGGAACCTTGACTAACTCAAATTAGCCTTTGTTTGCAGATGCAAATGCTGCCAGTCAGATGCGCAACTGACTGACGGGATTTCAGTTTAAAGTAAATTGTTCTTATTGATGAGTCTGAACTAAGTCAGATGGAAACACAATGTCAAAGTCACTGTCTGCTAAACTGGATATGGCAGCCCAAACTATGGTATAATTCATAGAAACTGAGGAAGTAGCCCCAGATGTGTTTATGGCTCTTTTAAGAAGCTAAAGAATATTTTCAACAAGGAAAGATTTCTGTAGTTCACAACTGACTTTGCCGTAGATTCTGTTTGCTACTGCTGCTATTTATTTGGTGATCGGATAAAACCACATCATATGAAACTGCTTTTTTACAGCATACAAACATTTAGAATGATCCTGAGGTTCTAGTTCTTTTTGGCAGTTGAAGGCTAAGAATTGTTAGGCTTAAAAATATTTTAAATGTGATTACTTGTATTTTTAGAATTTAAAAGCTATTTTAAATAAAACTATATGCATTATCAATATCATTATTTTAAACATACTTTTATGTCAAATGTATACAGAAAAAATACGCTTCCTTTTATACCTTTCCTTTATTATTGCTAATAAATTATGGACTGTATATGTGTCTAAAAAGTTCATCTTGTTTCTCAGAAAAGTGTTAGAGAAACACAGCTCTTTTGTACACATTTTTACTTGTATCTTTAAGCCTGTTCGTGTGAGGTCTCTTGGACTTACTGTTAACCTACTGTTTAATCAGTTTGCAGAACCATTATCTATTTCATGAACACGATGCCATATTTTATCTTCATTAAGTGTCAAATGTTTATAAGATTAATTAAAATTAATTCATCTTAATTCTTTAGTTAATTAAAAAAGAAACTCTTCTATGGCAAATAATATTACATCTTATCAAAATAATAATGCGCATTCCCTTTTTACGTCTTCATTTTAACTCTTGCACAATTTGCAAATTATTATGAACCCACTCATGATTTGTCCCCCTTTGCTTGTCAAAATACCAAAATGCAAAGGTCAAAATCACATCCACAGATTTAACACAGATTATATTTTAAAAAGAGACATTTTTATTCAAGGACTTGAAATAACATTCTGTTTTTATTAGCTTTACAGAAATAAGTTATTTATCGCACTATGTACGCATTTAGAATACTTATCTTCTTTTTTTGTTGGTTGAAGTTGTCTATAATGACACCGATAAAAAGGTTCAAGGTAAAGAATGATCCAAATATGATAAAGATGACAAAATAAAGATACATATACAAGTTGTCCTCATACTTAGGTTGATCTTCTACCTACAAAATATTACAAATATTATTACCCATGAGAATACTAGATGTAAAAAACAATATATAATTTATGAATAGTTACATAGTATCTGAGCTAGAAAAGGTATAAACTGCTCTCAGTTATTAAAAAAACCCAACATGTCCATTACAATCAATGTTTGGAGAACTGGAAGCTGACAGAATGATTACTCATATGGAATTTCAAAGTAAATGGGCACACAGATATGTTTATGTATGTACATCTACACGAAGTTCCTCATATAGAAGGAAGAAGCAATGTAGGATTGAGAGCAGTCATTAGTACTTAAAATTTTAACAGCAGAAATCTAAATATTTTATGTTGCGTTCGGTATATTTTCATCCAAAAGAATCAATCAATTTTACTATCGCCTAAATGTCCCTGGAACTCTTTTGGTCTTACATGAGTGGTCTTACGTCCAGCTAAGAACTGATGCTTTCAATAAATTTCCAGTAAGTATATGTTTTGTGAAATCCATTAAATTCAGGCAAATTTCTCCAGGGGATTTTTGTATTGTTTTGATTCTTTAGGATTCCACATCTCTATGTCTGCCCCTCTACAGCACAATGTGCTAGAGTGTAGAAATGCTGAAGTTAATGAAACAGGATATATTACTCTGGGAGACAATTATCACTGTGTGATGATGGATATCACTAATGTGACTATAACCTAGGTTGTATAGAACTAATTCAGGCATCTGTGTTGCACTTTTTTGTTCAAGGTAAACATAGTTTTAGTTTTGTAGCCAAGATAAAATTCTAATCTCTAGAAAATTTAACAGATTATATTCAATCTTAAAATCTAATTGCACTGAAATAGCTAGATAACAAAAGCGTTCAACCTAAAGAAACAATGAAATGTATGGTTACAAATTATAAAACAAGATTAATATATTCAATATGTAATCATTACATTATGTAATCTTAAATTAATTCATACTCGTGATTGCCAAAGGAAGTGGTTAAAAAAAGCTCTTCTTTGTTTCTTCATTAAGATTAGGTTTTCAAAAAGTCCAGTTAAGTTAATTTAACTTATTTGTCTAAACAGCAGGAAGTGGAATTAATTCTTTCCACTACAAATTCTAAGATTCATGATGTTACATAAAAGTTACTTTCTACCCTAAATGTATCTGGAAAAGTATATGTTGTTGCTGTTTATAATTTTAATGTTATTGTATGTACACCTGTTTAAATTCTATACTCTATAAGTACATCAGAATATAACCAACAGATGATCTTTGAAAGCCTTACACTTACATCTCGTGAATCAACAGCAGCATACATAATATCCATCCATCCTTTGAAAGTAGCCTAGAAATAAAATACAGTTCTTTATCTTCCCTATAAAAATTCATATTGTGGAAAATAACTAGGTCAAAGCATTCGGACCTTACCTTTTCATAAAATAATCTCTAAATTTATAAACCACATATAATAACACAGGCATAAAAAAAATTTTCATAGTACTACTACTTTTTTTGTGAAATTATTTTTAGTTATTCCAAAGGCATTAAAAAGCAGGCTCTGAAGGTCTCAGCAAGAGCACAGTGTATTTGGAGCTGCAGATGCTTCCTTTGCAGATGCAGAATGGAAGACTCAGATAGACATTAATGCTGGAGATGTTCAGGTAGAATCTACTAGAATCGCTCATGGTGACAGCCATTTTATCAAGTTTACAGCATGCACTGATGGAGGCAGCGATACAACTTCTGCATAGATACCAACATGTGTCTGACTGTTTTTGGTATGGCTAAACTGCCATGGTATCCTTAGAAATGCTTTAATCCCACATAACTAAGATGAATAGACTCTGTTTGTAAGCAAAATATACATTGGTTCTTGAGGGATAAGATTTACAGAAGACCAAAAAGTGAACTGTGAAAGAGTGCCTCCTCATTAGCCAAGGTTTCCAAGCTTATTCACAATAAAGAAAAAAAGAGCTAAAAAGTCTATGAAATGAACAGATAAAGATCATCTCAGAAGATTCAGGAGAGGAACCATCCCAAGGAGTATATTTGCATCTGTGCTCTCTGCTACTTTGGTACAGCTGCTAGTTTTCACAGGAGAAAACTTGCACTCTGGGAGTATTCATGTCCTCCTGAATCTTGCAGTGCAATACAAATTTACTAAGAAGGTGTGCTTGGAGCCAGGCTTTCTGGCTCAGCTGACAATTGACAGCCATTTGGCACACTTTGCATAGCACCATTAGAAGAGGAGCAGTTTGGTAAGAGCAATAAATACAGGAGGGTGGAGGGAGTATTTTAGTGGAGGCAGTCAGCTGAAGAGGTGACATGATACGTGCTCAAGGACCCCTTAATCTCTTAAAAGTAAAGGGAGGAAGGGGATATTTGAAAAGGAAAATAATGAAAAATCGGAACAAAAAAAAATAAAGAAAGATAAGAAGAACGAAAGGTCCACAGTAGCGATGCAGTAATAAAATACCAACACTGTCTGGATGTGTGACACAGATGACATTCAGCCACAGCTTCAAGAGACTAGAAGTTTTCCTTATACATCTTTGGAGGCAAGTATGGGTAATAAGGTAGTTCACTTTAACCTCTAGTACAAGGGTAGCAATGAGATCTGAAGTCAGAGAATTAGAATTATCATTCAGTACTACTACTCGGCACATGAAAGTCATGTTGCCTTTAGAGGCAAAACTTTTTAAGCCAGGTAGTTAATTTGGGAATCCAGGTCAGCTAGGGATACTGACCTGCTCTGGGGTAGAAGGGACAAGCCTATCATTCTTGGATAACTTGGTCATATCAGAGCAGTAACGATCCCATGACATTTCTGACATCTTTTCATACAGTGAAGCTGTATATCAGCTTACAGACAAGTGATTCTGCAGAGCTCAATCATCTAAACATAATTGTTTTCTTTCTTTCTTGGGTTTTGGGTCAACTATCAGCTATCAGAAGCTCCATTCTAAGCCAAGGGGCCTGTAAAGGGCTAAGGTCTTATTCCTCTGGCATAAGTAAAAGGTATGCTCAGTACCTAGAACAAAGATATTTCTGTACCACAGTGCGTAGCAAAAGGACTTGAAGTGGAAATACAATTTACAGACTTTGTATAGGTAGCCGTAATTAATAGAATGAATATGCCATGCAATACAATGACATAGTTCACAAAGATAATGCTGTAAGTAACACAGTATTTATTTAGTATATTATAGTGACTCTTTAATGGAATATGATACTTATAAATCATGAGTACTTTTTGTGATAAAAGTATTTTTCGTTTTTCTGTTTTGCCCACAGTTTAATGTCTTTGTAGTTTCATGTGCTTCTTAATGAAAGACATTTATTTTAGTAGCAAGTACTGTTTATCTGGAAACATCAAGAGAAAGCGTTACATGATTAATCAGACCTAATACCCAATTAGGGTCTGTCTATCAGTAACTATCCATATTCTTCCCATGGGCAGCTCCTACTTCTCTCAGAGGATTTCAGACCTCTTAGACAAGTATTATGATAATGGAGAAAGAATTGGCTCCATGCTACATGAAACACTGGGTGCCCCAATCTCAGATTTTGCATTATTTATGATTCCTTACCCTAAAGCCACTTCCAGGTCTGGAAAATCAAGCCCCTATTAAATAAATATATGCACTGGATACACCAAGTTGATATGTATTTTTATTATTACCATCTAACTTACAAACTGGTTCCTTAGATAAGTGTAGACATGAAGAAAAATCCACTCTACCTGTTGACAAAAGAAAAATTATTTCACAGTGCCAAAAGTGCCTAGATTAATGGATTTTGACCGTGAAAGAATGTTGCTGTGGATGTGTATTGATACCTAGGAAGAGATTATGTGGGAGGCATTGGCAGTAGTTGCTCACTTCAGACCACACAGTCAGTTAGGATGTCTGCCCTCTTGTAAGCTGCTGTCTGCCCTCCTGTCTTAAAAGATAATTGAGCTCATAAAGGAGGTGAAAGACCTTTTTAACAATTAGAGGGACCTCTGATCCTTGTCCACCATGGCAAGACTCATGAAATGCATTCCTGAAGTTTATATTTTGGTTTTAGCACCATTAAAAAGATTCTTGTACCTTTTTCACTTATTATTTTCACATTATTGTCATCATGATGAGACTATTCCCTAGCCTTGGAATGGAAAGTTATTCTGCTATCATTAATACAAAAATTACAGGTAACAATGCAATAGAGTTGTGTAAACTGTATGTCATTGCAATGAAGAAATTATTCCACTATTAACAGTCTTGACCATTTTTCCTAGACTTCTTTAAAAAGAGCAAAAATAAAATATATAAATTTACTTACTACTTGAAGCAGAGCAAGATATCCAGCTCCTACATTATCAAAGTTTACTTTCACATTTTTCCATCGGGCACTTTGATTGTTCTTTATGAGTTCCTCACACTGAGTATAGTTGTTGACATCACTGACATCAAACATCTCACCAGTTGTGGTGTTGACACAGTGATAGAATTTGCCAGCGAACAGATTTACTCCCATGATACTGAAGATGAGCCAGAATATAAGACAAACCAGCAATACATTCATGATAGATGGAATTGCTCCTACAAGGGCATTTACAACCACCTAGTATACAAATTAGACAAAATAGCCACTTAGTTTGTGAACAGAAAAATAAAAATACTTCTGAAATGTTAAAACAGCATTCATATGGAATGGACAGTTAAAATATTAAATTAAAAATTTACGGGGGAAATGTTACTTAAGGTTCAATAAAAACACTAATGAGATTGCAAAAAGCAAAAAATAATATGGAAACCAAGACAATGCAAAAGGCTGAAAAAAACTCAAAAAAAGCAAAAGAAAACCTGTTAGTAGCAAGATGGATTCTTAGAATTTGTGTGCTCTAGAGAAAAAGAGAGAAATAAATGTTAAATTCCAACCACACAAATCAAAATCTATAAATAGAAAATAAACCAGAAAAAGGTCAAAGAATGATGATGTGGAAGACTCAACAAAAATGTCTGCATGTAAAACCATCATTACTAATGATTTTATTCTCAGAAATTTTATGTATATATTGGCACCAGTTTATTTTAGCATCTACATACAATGTAACATAATTAAGCATATCTTATTTAGTTGTTATTAACAGCATCTGGTGTAAGTCTTGGTTTTAAATTACCTGGCTCACTATAGTTGCTCTTACACTTAGCCGTTGGGTTTTTTTTTAATTGGCTGCATTTAATACAGTTGAGCTACTCTATATGGGCAAGTGGCAGTAAACGATCAGATGAAATCCCTTGACAAAAATTTTCTCTTACTTATTGTGATTGAACTAAAAGAAAACTGCAGATATTCAGACAATAATTTTCTACAAAATCAGTAGAGACTGCAGTAGCTTTTTGTGTATGGTTTTGAAAATGTATTTTTCAACTCACTAATTTGCCTGAAAGTAGTCTAAGATCAATAGAGGTTTTGGCCATTTATTAGATAGGGACTTACATGTTGTTTGCAATGCAAATCATGTAAAACATAATGGCACTGGCAATGTGCCACAGGACACGTTCCACTACACTGGCTAGTGTTGCCACCTCTAGAACATCAGCAGCCTCAACCCAGACAGGAACCACACTCTTTATTTGGGAACTTAAGACCTATGACCAAACTATAAACATGTATTGCAGCATCTGGGTATTTTGAGGGGAAAGATGAAAAGATTTCTCAATAACATTACCTTGTTAATTTTTTATGCACATTTTTCCAGGAAATAGCATAGTCTGCATTTTCAGCAGACGGATTGTAGTAGTTTGGTGGTTTGTTTTTCTTTTGTCAGATTGGCAGAATATGAAAATAATAATTTCCTCAACAGGAATGATTTAGATGTGTAGGAGGAGAGGTAAGATGTCAGCAGATGCATTCATATGAAGTAAAGGACACTAGCTGAGAAAATGATTTTGCATCTCTTCCCTTCCATACTTCCAACCCCATCCTTATTTCAGGTATTTGTTCAGAGAACCTTTCCCTAAAACTACAGCATTTATTGTGGGATTTTTTTTTCCTCAGGCATGTAGACATGGAGCCACAGGGAACCTTTAATTTCTGGTGTGTCACTGTTGTCAGGGCTTTGTTTTGTTTTCCGGCTAATCCTGTTCCATCCTGAACCACTGATAAACTAAGAGAGAATAGAACTTAGCTACAGAAATGCATAAAATAAAGTCCCCAGCAAAACTGGAGAAAAAAAAACCAACCCTCTGTTCTAAAATTTCTCATGTCCTTTTACTTTTTTAATATAGGTCCACAAATCAATGGAAATTTTAACAGTCAGGGGGCTGGGATAACACAATTATGCAGCAGCGAGCAGGCAAAATTAATGAGCTCAAGGTCTAATCTCCAAATGTAAGCTGTACATATGTCTTGGCATATAAGGACACATCGGAAGGCCTTTTTTGCATGCATTTCCATTCTGGAGTTTTTTGCAGAAAGCATGAGTATCACACTTCTACATTAATTATTGTATGCATACATTCATTCAGACTCATTCATTTTATCTCACCCTCATTCCTTCAAATCGTGACAAGGCTCTTAACGGTCTTAAAGCTCTTAATGTCCGAAGCGATTTAATGGCACCAAGTTCAGAATAGCCCAAAGCATTGGCTATTAAACTAACCAATGAGACCTATAAATATAAAAATAAAAAATTATTATTATTATTAAAATTGTTATACACTTTATTTCAAAAGAGTACAGATTCAATCAACAGAAAGATCAACAGCGACAAATGGAAGAACACCATTCTTGCTTATAGTGACACTGGAGGCCCAATCCCACAATTTTCATACTTGCTGGAAAGGCAAGAGGTCATATGAAGGCATGTTTGAAAAAGGACTATATGCTATTAAGTGTCTGTTATAGCTGCATAGGGTTTAACAGTCAGATGGAAGCACACTGTTGGTGAAGGATAAATTTTTCAGAAATTTTTCAGAAAAGACAAAATAGCCATACTTGCAGTAACTTCATTAAGGTTCAACCTTCCAAGCAATTTAAAATTCTGAATGTAGTAGGATAGTTTATTAACTGCTGACAATATTATTAAGATCTACAATCACTAATATGCTAAATAATGTAATGGTTAATTAGCTTTTGTTATAAATATTACTTCTAAGTCAAACACTCAGTTCATAGCAACAATAGCCAGGGTATCTATGAAATACATATTGACAGAGGTGGTACTTTCTCACTTGCCTGACAGCTCTCAATAATTTCTTTTCTCTTTTAAGTATAGGAAAATACTATAGGATAGATATTAACAGATGTTAGCAATATACAGTAAGTTCTTTATTATCTACAACAGTAGTGAGATCCTGATTCACATCACCAGGATTTTATTATAAGCCAATCCACTTCAGGAAGGAGCAATTAATTTGCTTCTTAAATGGAACGGAGTTTAAAGACTGTTAATGTGAAATAATTTAATTTACTTTGAGCAGTTTGGGAGACAGGAGCAGGGAAATATCATACCTTACTCATATTTTATTCAGTTCTACCACCAAAAACATAGAAGACACATAAATGAACATTGGCATATTTCTGTCCTTGAAAAAAATCCTCAAATGTTCATTTCTGTACTTCAGCCTAGAGACTTCTTCAAATAATTGGCTGTACAGAAATAGACATTCATTGATAATGGTGATAGGATTTTGCCCATTATATGAAAAGGCGTTTTCCTATGTTACTTGTATCCATAAAGAACAATTAGATGAATCACAAACACAAGAGTTACAAGATCAAGTCTCAAAAGGACAATCCAAGAGCAGATAGAAATCAGTTATTCATCGCTTTGTTGCTATGTAAATTAATCTAACAGAAAATACTATTTTAGTGAATTCATATCACTGTACCTTTCAGCTGGATTACATGTCAGGATGTAATTCTTTTTGTAAAAGGAGAGGCTTATTTTGTGTAATGGATAAGTTTATAAAGGAACTTGTGATTTACAAGCATATTAAGAATGAAATCTTACCGATTCTCTGTAGTCTGTAACTGAGTTCTGTTCACTTACAAGAGATAACATTGTTATTTCTGCCATTACATTAATTATTGTCATTAATTGCTATTAATAATTGTCATTAATTCAATTTATTTGTCCTGTGATTCTACAGTGAGAGACGGTTTTTTTATCCTTAGCCACTCTTAATATATTCCAGAGGTAACAAAACAAGACATGGAATTTACTCACATCAACAAGATACCCAGACATGACAACAGACTAGTGTAAAGACAGCACATTTTATGGATATAAAAAAACCCTATGAAATATATATTAAAAATATGTCTCTAACTGGGAGTGCAAGACATCTCTTTTAAAATTGAACTCACATTAACGGCTCCTGCATTTTATACATTTCTCCCCAAACTAGCACTGTGCCTTGGCTATCTTTCACAAACAAGACTGGATACAAGCTAGTTACATATCTGCAGCTCCTGTAACTTCAGTGGCACTGTGTATACTGGCAGTTCTTAGGTTCTGATTGTAAGTCATTCTCCAGCCTCGTTTGTGCTTTCCATTCCAAACCATTTGCAGCTTTCTTACCATGGTGCTAGTGCTGTTACGTCATAAACCTGAAGTTGTTTCCCAGAGGAATACTTCATCTATTGTAAACAACACGTTTTCCTCTGAAGGACAATTCAACTGAGAGGCAAAAATTTGCTTGAAATTCTTTGATATTAATTCTATTGTATATACAGCATAAGTATATACATCTTTTCTGTACTGCTCTGGTTTTCTCAGTCGTCTTAGCTTGGTTTTCTGTCATCTGTTCCACCTGTTTTGTTGCCAGTAGGTGAGAAAATAAATGTCTCTGTACACTGATAAATAGGTTAATTTCTTTCTTTTGAGACAGGAATGCACGCACATGCAGTAATTTTAAGAAACGAAAATGAATTCAAAATGGTGGATAGAATATTTATATTCTTCTAAAACTGGAGGGTTGTATGTCCACATTTTTGTGCATGGACCTTCTAATGTAGACTATCTGTTCCAACACTGCTTATCCTATCTTTCATGTAGTTTAAGTGTTCAGATATTACACTTAATTGTGAATAAAAATAAACTGCAGATTTGTAAAAAAAAATCCAAATATTTTTCTTCCTATGGAGAAGTTAATGATTTTTCTTATTTTTTGAGAGATAGATACTGTTATTGGTTTTTCAGGTAGGCTTTTTTGACGCTCTCAGAGACAGGACACTGGACCCATTGTAGCCTTTCTTATGCCTTATTTGCCCTGTCTTATGTTATGGTCCTATGCTAAGATAATATTTTTTCTATATGTACTTGGTGAATAATTCTTAATTTATGATATTTGCTGGCAAGTATTCAAAATTCATTTTGTTTAGATGCATAATTGCAAGCTATGATTCTATTCCCTAACTCACTGAACAAGAGCCTTGGGTTTCATGCATATATCATCTGAATATCCCTTTGAATTAATTAATTCATTTTATTAATTTCTGGATTAGCCAATTTTATCATAGTGTACCATGTTAGGATACACATAAAGACATGAGACTGTCTAGGAAGACAAAGTGACATCTCTTTCTGTATCTGGTTTCCCAACACATCAATATGCTCATCTTCTTATTTCTTCTTATTTTTATCATGAAGTTGTCAGGGCAGCAGGCGCCTCTTACTCTGTGTATACAGCATTTAGTATATTAGTATAATGTGACCCTGATCTTTTCCAGAATGTTGCTGCTGAGTTAATTACTCTGAAAAGCTAATAAAAAGGTTGAGAGTACAGTTTAATTAAATTACTTTAACTATTTTAAGAAAAAGCATGAAACATTCTTAGCTATATGAAGAAATATTATATAAGCCATCAATATGACTAACTTTTGATGTACTATACAGCATGGCCAATTGGAGGGGTTTTTTGCTACATGTCATTGTTCAAAAACTGTACCCATTGACATTTTATCAGGCATGAGCAACTTCAGGAAGGTCAAAGATTTCATTCTACTTACAGATTCATTACTGCCCCACAGTATTTGGCAAAAACACTATTTGTTTTAAGTTTTACTTATTTCCATTTCATTCAAGTACAACTTATTAACATGATAATTTAGAAATAAAGTGTCTATATCAAATTATAGGACTACCTTATAAAGTTTTAAAATATACAGGATAAAACAGTATCCACTTAAGATTATCTAAGATTACATATCGTAGCAGAAAACTACACAAAGAAATTTTAAAACTGACGAACTCATTGGGTATTCCCAGATACCCTGTCTCCTCCTTTGATGTCCTATCTCCTAGCTTTGTATGTGGCACAGAGAACTTAGAGTCATCATAGCTGTACATCAAAACCTAGACATAATAATCTCATGACTGATGGATTCTGGAAAAAGGGGTAAGAGCAGAAACCAGGGTGCAGGATGACATACTCTGTAGCATCTGGTTGTATTGGGTTAAGATATTGCTGTCTCAAGCCTTTACTGAATATGTCTGCCAAAATTAGTCTCCCAAAGAATTTTTGCATTCAGTCTCTTAGCTTAAACCACTGATAAATGTGAACTAATTGAACTAATTTACCAGATTGTGATTTTGGGTAGATAAGGCGCTCCACCCAAATATTGGCTCCTTTCTACAGATATTGTTGCATATAGCAGAAGACTCGGGTGGAGAGATGGAACGATAAGGTCTTAAACTGAGGTAGCCAGATGTACCAAGAGCCATCTGTCGTGGCTGTAAACTGACAGACCTGAAAATTGCAATTTCTTTGTGTAATTATTAAAATCTAATTTGGTCACAATCACTGAGAGCAACTATGGGTATTTCTCACAGCAAGAGACTCAGGTATGGAACACATTAAAGGTTAAAGCCCTGAAGGGCTATCAGTGTTTACTCTTCAATGATTTCAGAGGATGGAATTAAACAATTTGATTAACTTTAGTTACTTTTAATGAAGAAGGGCTCACTGGTGTTCTCACTGGGACCATGCCACTGAATCACACCTGTTTAAACTGCCTGTTAAAGCAGTATAGAGTCTCTGCTTTTCTATAGGAAGATAACATAAATTCATATATTTCTTTCAAGTGCTGTCTGGTGGTGCTAAAGGAATTGCTGAATTAGCCTTAGGCACAATAATACATTTTTTATCACTTTCTGGAACACTGAATATAATTCTTCAAAAGTAGAAGGTTCCAATCTCATTTAGTGATACTTTTGTTTATAAAATTAAAAATAATGGGTAAAAAGTTGGCAAAATAAGCTGATTTACTTATGATTATGTTCTTTATAATTCTGAGAGCCTGCTCAGACAACAGCATCTCTGAGGCGAAACTTTTGTTAAGAAACCATGGAGTATGTCTTAGAATAATCTGTTTAGGTTTATGTTACAAAAAAAAAATAATTAAAACATGAGTTGTAGTTTATCTAAAAAAAAAATAAAATCCATTCTTAACATAATCCTGGAAGGGAACATCTGTCTTCTGCATTAATATCCTCTTAAGAAAACCATTCACACTGTTCTATTCCAGTATAGATTTTCAGGACAGAGCTAGAGATTAACAATATAACAAAACTAACTTGGGCAGGTTAAGAAAAAAAAAGAGAAGGTCTTCCATTTTGAGTTATGGGCCAATCTAGCTAGGTTTTTTTTTCCTCTGGGCATCACAAATTCAATACATTTCTATTATATATTCATAAAGAATAGGTATTTGTGGGACCAGGATTTATGCAAACTTCTCAAGAAATACGGTAGCCTGGGCAGAAATTACTATAAATGCACATTTGCACATTACTGTAAATGCACGTTTAGCCAATGAACTGGGTCAGATAATGCGTGAAAGCAAAAGACCAAAATATTCTGGGAGTAAAACCAGCTTTGATCCCTTCTGACAACATAAGCAAGGCCTTTGCACAGAAGTATATCACAGCTGGGAAGGCAGCCAAGAAATCTTGTATTCTCTTCTATCATAAACCCTGCCAAGTCATAGCTGATTTAACTATTGCAGATTGTCAGCCATTAAAACTAATTAATTTTTAGACCAAATAGCCACTGTCTTTCTGCCTTACTAAAAATGATAACAGTATAGTTTTGTGGGATGAAGTTCTGAGAAATCAGATGAAATCTGGACCAAATGTATTGTTTCACTTGCAAAGCACCTATGTTTGTAGAAGAAACTCACACAATGTAATGTCTTTTTTTGCTAAGGAATAAGATAGTATGATCAGAGTCCATTAAAAATAGCATGTTTCAAAATCTTTTTTTTTCCTTATAAAATCTAAAGTTTGATACAACCTGGCTATGAAATTATTAACTGAGGAAAGAACAAACTGATGGCCAGCCATCCTTTTCCTTCTGGCGTATAAATGTACTTTAAACAACACATCCAGATCACTGCAGGCTACTACTAATGCAGTATAACTATACAATGTGAATTATTTTTGCATGTTTATAGAAAGATTACTTAGTAGTAATGAGTTTTACAACATAAAGGACTTCATTCTAGTGAATTTTACAATATTAAAGACTGAGTACTTACATCAACAATCAGGAAGTCCAGCCAGCACCAGGCATTAGTAAAATATATTTGAAAACCATATGCTACCCATTTTAAAAGCATTTCCAAAATGAAAATATATGTAAAAACTTTGTCAGCATATTCCAGCATGGTCTTAATAGTTTTGCGCTGTTCAATATATATATCTTCAAAAGCCTATGAAAAAAAATATTCAGGTATTACTAATGTTTCATGGAGTATATATGATAAAAATAAGAAAAAAAAATTAGGTCAGAGCTAATCTTTCCCCTTGTTCTCCCACATCCTCTTATTTTACATATTTCCCATCTTTAACCATACCACAAATTGGAGCAACTTTATGTATTCTGCAATGTCTGGAGTTGAAAGTATATATCCCATTTTACTAATGAATGAAGAAATAAACTCAAAGCATGAATTTTTGTCCACTGTGGTATTAAGAAACTTTCACATACACACACAAAAAAACCCCTTTCTTATACAAAATCTGTTCCAGATATGTGTATTCCTTTCTAGAAAGCAGTTAGGGAGATTATATTTCTATCCTCCATCAGTCAAATTTATGTCTAAAAGTCAAATTAGAGAGCAATGTATTTGCTAGAATGTACACTATGCATGTTGATACTGTAGTAAATGTTCAACTCGAGTAAAGCTGGAAAGGTGGGTAATCTAAATTTTGTTGGAAAGTGGTTGTTAATTTGCTGTCACACTCTTCCCTATCTCCTGCCTCCAAAAAAGGAAAAAATGAAGTAATTATTTAATTTTTTGTATGGTCTTTTGTAAGCAGAATCCAAGAAGTGGCTGAGCCTAGAAGGAATTAAGGACTTAAAATGATACATTTAGCTATATATTCACAGTTAACAATGGTCCTTTGTACTCAAATGTCTTGATGAACATGCTGAAAATTGGCAGGCAATTTAAATAGTGGGCATCTATGCTGGCTTAAATAAAATTGCACCAGGTTTCAGTGGTTAACCAAAAGTATCACCAAAAAAGTGAATGTGAAATTTAACAAACTTTTTCAAGTTTGGGACAAGTTTCATTCCATCCTGAAATGATGGAACACAGGTAGTTTTAAGTAACTCCAAGCAAAACAGCTCTTTCAGAACCAAATTTGAATGTTGCGGCGGCTTCTAAGGAGATATCTACATATTTCAGCAGATACAATTTTTTTCTACTTACTAGTGCCCCACTGCTGAGGAGAATCATGAAGACAATGAAAGTCTCAAACCAGTTGTGCTCAACTATGCTGTAGCAGGTTTTTCTAAGATTCCACCAAATTTTTCCTTTGCCATCCTCTATACTTACTTGACAACAGGGAAATTTCTGCACACAACCTGCATTAGATTAAGAGATATTAGGATCCAAAAGCAAATTATTTCAAAGTCAATATTCACTGTGGTATCAACATTGTCAGAAGCTTTAACAAATTTTATAATAATTTTTTAAATTAAACATGGGAATCCTTTTTTATAGGATCGTGAATATCTGAATTCAGATAAGTAATTTGGAGAGAAACCAGACAACACTACACATAATTATGAGTAATCTCAATCCAAAAACCATTGATATTTTGGACTGTTGGCATGTAACTGTTACATTTGTTGATGGAGTCTCACAAAAATTAATTTCTTCCAAATTTCAAGGGCCCTTTCAAATAACTGAAAAGCATTTTAAGGCTAGAACAGTTAATGAAGTTTATTAGTTACAAGATGTATGCCGTGGCCAGGCAGATAAAGCTATTCAAAGCCTACGGAAACCTTGTTTTGGCATCTGATTTCCAGCATTATAGGCTGAGTATTTTCTTTTGATTATTGAGGCCATGAAGGTCCACCAGATTTGAAAGTATCAAGAACTTAAATATGCGTAGTAATAATGCCATTTTACTAATACATCTCTTAAGTCAACAGTTATTCTACAACCTTCTGTAAAACAGGCTTCTGGTTCAAGAGCTTCTTCACTTTCAATTTCTGCTTGCTCGCCCTCTCCAGGAGGGGCAATATCAACTGTGCTGCCTTCTGATGAACTGGATGCATTTAGTTTCTGCAAGTAAAGTTCCACAGAACAATTTTTTTCTCATTAGATACATATTCTGTAAGAAATTATACTGAATCAAATCATGCCAGTCTCTGACTTTGGAAGAATGCTAAATTTGTACTGATAAATATGCATCACCATAAGTAGAAACATAGTACTGAGATGTACATTGTATAGTTCTGCTTCCCAGTTTATCTCCTCATAGGGAACAATTAAATACCATTTGGCTACTAACCTTATCCACATATAAGACTTCTGAAGTATTCTCAGTAGTATTAAAACAGGAGAGCTCGCATGTACCACACTCTCAGGTTATTTCATTTTCTTTACTATACTGGATAACACTGAAAATGTATCTTAGTTTTCCCAGTGAAATGAACTAACAGAAAGCTCCGCATGTATCTTCATGTCCACTACAGATGGTGTTTTCATAAACATACACCATGTCTTGATTAAAGTGTAAATTTAATGGCATTTAATGGCAAATTTCTGCACAATTTAATTTTTGCAGAAAGCACAAATTACCAGATCTGAAATCTCTTCTTTGCATTCCAGTTTCCTGTGCATATTCAGAGACCTCCTGAGGTCCTTTTGCATCCCAAATTTTTCTATCTTTCTACTACTTTGTGTACAGTGAAATACTATAGTCCTTACTATGGTAAACGCACTTCTAGATCTGCAAACTGCAAGAACCGGAGAGTGATATAAACCAACTGAAATTAAGTAACTTTTTACCAAGTACATTGAAATTTGGATCAGGTCAAGCTGTTTTTCAGTCATGCAAGACTGCCCATAATTTTCTCCTTTTAAGAAAGCATATTTTGAAAGGAAAGACCTGCTAAAGATGTACACAACTAATTCAGTAATTAGACATTGAGTTTGTAACTTGTTTTCAGTTGTCGATACTGTTTGCGTCTTTGATTGCTTTCATCCAAAATACATTCTCTTTCACTGTGATATAAGGCTTGTAATCAGAAAGCAACCTTAAAAAAAGCACGGCAGTGAAATACGTCTGGTTTATATCATGTAGGAGTAATACATAGTAATTTTGAGGGGGTTCTATAACGCACCTCTAACTTAAATACTTCAAATTGTACAGGCACTGGTGTAACAGAAAGGGCATTTGGTCACACAGTATGTTTCTGGTTTCAGCTCAGCAGATCTGAGCATGCCCTTCAGCATGCCCTTTCACCTATATGAAGACTTTACCATACAAATTTTTTGAGAGAATGCTTAATACCAAGTACTTCTTACATTTAGTTTTCAAGATAGTGACATTTTCAGAATATATAAAAAAATACTATTCAGATGATTTGAATGGTTTTGCAATAAATAATAAACAATAACTCTTTAAAGAGGCATTTCCACATATTCTCTCTTGCAGAGACACTGCTGCAAATTAAAATTAGTTATTTAACTCTTCAGTTAAAACCCAGTCCCTTCATGAAAATGCATTGGGAGCTAAGGGCTTTTTTCTGCCTGAAATGAAGCAAATGACATGTTTAACTTAATTTGTTTGGTAAGCAATTTTTTCTTCATATTCAACTCTTCTGTGAGATGAATGAAGTTTAAAAAAAATTCATGTTGGGTGATGGATAATTTCAGGGGTAAGTTTCAAGAAGCTGCCCTTCCACACACCTGCACATGTAGTCAATATAGGGTCACTCAGACCTCAGGTTGCATGGTTGTTACTTCATTGTAACCAAAAATAAAGGACTTCATCGCATAATAGAAAAGATTTCTAACACAAACAGAGGTATGAGTTTGAAAACCATTCTTTCCCTTTTTCAGTATTCTGATCTGTCATACCTGGAAAATCAAGCTGACAAATGTGAAAAGATTTGTATAAATACACTGAGAATTGGATGTTTCCAATGGTTAATTTTTGCTTAGTAAACATGTTAAAATATCATGTTTCCTTTTTCATACTGCATTTCCTCTATGATTGCCAAAATTTATATATGTAAAATCGTTACAGCCATATGGCCTCTAAATGGAATAATTTTATTACCGGTCATGTAGATCAGTAAATCTGAAATAAAATATTATGTACTTCATATAGTGAGAATATTTAAAACTTTGCTTTCTGTATTACATTTACAGACTGAAATGCACATTAATGCATAATATAGTAAGCATTATTAGCACACTGTCTTATTATCCACACATAAGGTCCTCTTTTAAATAGGAAAAAGAATTTGTGAATTAATTCTCTTATTATATATCATTGTAATATAAAGAAATAAGAAGTCTGAAACCTGTGACTGAAATTATAGGCAGTTTCTTCATTAAATAAAAAACAAATATTATGAAAATAATAATCTGTCACATTCAAATTAGGAGAATTAAAACTAATTCATGGCCTGATCCTTCATCATTAAATCAATTACTTAATGGTAGCAAGATAAAGGTTCATAGTAAGCATCAATTATTAATCTATATGAGTGCCAATTAAAAGGTAGTCAATCTTTTAACTGCTTCTTCACATATAAACTCTGTTGCAGATAGCCCTGTCAGCATAGTTGCTAAAAAGCAAGTGACAGAAGTGCAATTTCTAATTGGTACAAACAAAACCTACTATAATTCTCTTCATCATTTTTCACGTAAATCATTCTTCTTCAGTATTTTTCAAATAATCTCAAACAATTACATAGTTTTAAAAAAAAACTCATTAAGTTAATAAAACTTCTCTTCTTTCCTTCAAGACCCTAAATTAGGAAAGAACCATTGCATTTTAAATAAGGCGACTTCAATGATCTTTTGCTTCTAGCAATAAAACTAATAGGAAACTCAAGATACATGATGGATTAACACAATCTTCTTTTCACCTCATAAATGTGATTATCAGCCCCTAGAACACGCCATGCCCTCTAAATACTTCTTTGCATCTTCTATGATACACATTTTCCTTTACAAGGATACAACTGAAAGCAATTGCTTATGATGCAGCATTCTCAAGGCCTGAATCAGCAAAACAACATGCTTGACCAGAGCAGAAGCCTGAGCAATACTGTGGAAATCACACACAAAAATAAAATAAAAACCAAGACTACCTCAATGGGTTATGTTTTTTCTGAAAATAGTATTATAAATACTACTGTATAGAATATAACATAAAAAAAATGCTTCATCACCAACCCAAATACTTGGTTAATATATGTATAATCAGCCTCCATAGTGTCCTTTCAGAGCAGTGCATCTCTTTTCAACAGCTTAGATCATTAAAACAAGCTTTGACCAACAGCATGTTAATGTGCCCATTTACAAGAAAATGCATTCACTTAAGCCCCAGTCTTGCTCTCATTTGATTTTTTTCTAGGTTTCAATAAGAGCAAGAGCAGGCTACTAAAATTTTAAGCTTTACAAACAGCTTCATGATTCAAGTGACAATAAAATAAAGGGATTCAGCCATTACAAATTGCCTTTTCAGCCATGTAGTTTTATCTTTTGAATCTTGAAAGCTGCACTGTAATTCAGTGACAAAATATATAATAACGGGGATCAATGATTCCAAAGTGATTCTAAACTGACTTTAAGTCTCAGATCTTACAATATTTGACTTTTATATAATATTAAGATAAACACTTTAAAAGTTTCTTTCCTTAGAGTTTTATTTGATGTTTGAAGCATATCTTGGTTTAAAATTCAATCAGTAAAATCTGACCATTTTCAGAATGCACACAAATATGATTTTTTTTTTTTACTTCTCTGGACAATTTATACTATGATATAATACAGATAGATCATACTATTCTATAATCAATGGTACAAAACAAACCATTGGGTTATCTTTTTGAAGCCAGTGAGACTCTGCCAGAAGGCAACAGCTTTGAATCCTGCTATAGGACTGAAATCTCAATCCCAATAAAATTTTGACGCCAAGTTTTACTAGGATAATTTGACCTCCTTAGTTTCATGTAACTTTGGCTCCTGTTCAATATTTGCTGTCCCTGTTCCTGAAGGCTCTGCCAATTATGCATAAATGGAGACTATACTTGCCTATAATGAAAAAAAGCCTAGGGTAAATATACAGGGAATTTTATACAAATGATGCCAACTAGTCCATAGTCTTTCTAATTTACACCAAGTGAAGTCCCCCAACTCAGTCACAGACTGCTATTGTGAAATACATTCCAAAATACCACTATTTATGAAGGAGTTTAAAGTTTAAGAAAAGAGTATCTGTAAAATGCTTTGCTTTGAGAGTTTTTAAGGGGGTTATTTGCTAAGTATAATTTTAGCAATTATGAAACTATTTTCTCTGCTTACAAACTCAAGATATGCACTGCCCAAATGAATAGATTGTAGTCTGTAGCATCTTGAAGATTTGCATTACAGTGCATTGTAGTTTTAAATGTACAACAGTGTAATTTTTATGCAAGTAGCTACTGCAGTAGTTTAAATGTTATTCATTAAGGAGCTGAAGTTGTGGCAGTAATAATTTCATACATCACTTAACACAGTTCATTAAATATTTACATTTATAAGGGCTGAATCAAAAAGGGTTGTTTTTATTATTTAAAAACTGTGCATGCTCCCTTTTTCTTTGGCCTCTTTAACGGGTAACATTCCAGTACTTTTATGATCCATACTTCAAAACCTGTAGAGCATGCAGTTATTGCTAAACACTGTATTAAAATATCCAGAAAAATCATTAGCAGAGTTAAAAAATGTATGTTGGGGTTGCCAATCCCACCTGACCATGCTGTGATGTGAGTCCCATGACTCAGCAGAGAGCAGCTGTGCATGTTTCTACTGTCTTGCAATGGATAGGGAAGGTACATAGCTGAGTAGCATGCAGGCCAGTCAAAATCCATTAAAAAGTGATTATATATATATATACATATATATGTATAACTTGCTTAGGTAACCTGTGTGAAAGTGGTGACACGTTGCTCTACCTGGTTAAAAAGCACCAGAGCTGCATTCTTGATTGCTCCAGCTTGGTTTTACCCCTGTGAGAAGTAAGAATGGTAGGTAGTGAAGTTCAAGACACAGGATCTCTA